GCAGGAAAGCTGACGTTTTGGGTCTGGACCCTTCTTCAGAAATTCTTCTCCATTTCTGAAGAAGTGTCCAGACTCGAAACGTCAGCTTTCCTGCTCCTCTGATGCTGATTGGCCTGCTGTGTTCATCCAGCTCTACACCTTGTTATCTCAGATTCTCCAGCATCAGCAGTTCCTACTATCTCTGTACATTGAAGAAGCTTCTGGACCCCCAGAGGTTTCATCTCCCCAGTGCAACATCAAAAAAGAACTCTTTGATGCTGGAAGTTGGCTCCAGGTGTTGAGTGACTTATTTAGTTATTCTGCCCCAACACCAGAAAGCTAGCAGAGAACTCATATCTGTCACATATGGCAGGCCCTGTGAGATTATGTCCTTCAAGCACATAATTAGCCACTAACCAGCCTTCCTCAGGATTCAGGAACCAGGTGCTGGATGTGCCAGCCACTGAAAACTGCAAGCCAATCAAGTGCCAGCAGTTCTTCATTGTTGGCTGTGTCATCAGAAGCAGTGGCTACTGACAGCAATGGAGTTTAAATGAACGAAAGAAGATCTGTTTGAGGTATGTAAGATGCTGAATGGGATTTGCAAAGTAGATGTAGAGAGGATGTTTCCTCAAGTAGGGCAATGTAGGATGAGAGGTCATTGTTTTAAATCTCCCGCTCCTTATCTTAAAACTGAGATGAGAAGAAATTATTTCTCTCAAAAGGATTGTGAATCTGCAGAATTCAGTATCACAATATGTGGTAAATGCTGGGATATTGAGCAAATTTAAGGAGGAGATGAACAAATTTTTAAATTAGTAATAGGTTGAAGTGTTATGGGGAGCAGGCAGGAAAGTGTACATGAAGACCAGATGAGATGAACTATGATCGAATCAAATGGTAGAGCAGGTTCGAGAGGCTGAATTGCCTACTGCTACTCACAGTTCTTATACATACAAGAGGCTCAGAATCACTAGAAGATTGCAAGCCAGATGTGAGGGAACATAATATAAGACAATAAGGCCATATAGGAGCAGAATTAAGCCATTTGGCCCATTGAGTCTACTCCACCATTTGATCATGACTGATACGTTTCTCAATCTCATTCTCCTGCCTTCTCCCCGTAACCCTTGATCCCCTTACTAATCAAGAACCAACACAGTCTATGCCTCTATTCTTTCTACCAAAGTTCACAACCTCACACTTTCCCACACTCTCTTCCATTGGCCACTTCTTTGCCCACTCTGTCCAAGTCCTTCTGCAGCCTCCTCACTTCCTCAGCACAACCTGTCCCTTCATCTATCTTTATGTCATCTGCATAGCTGGCAACAACGTCATCAGTTCCTTCATCCAAATTGTTAATGTACAACGTCAATAGTTGTGGTCCCAACAACCTGATAAAGGCGTCTTTATCCCTACTCTCTGCTTTGGGAATCATGAAATGGGGATCAGAAGCAATGGTGGTGATGGAGGTCAGTGGTAAATGCAGGCAGGTAGCTATCCACATCTCTCCCTTCCCAATGCCAGGTCCCTCAATTGGACAGAAATCTACAATGTTTGCCAGGCGGCATTCAGAAGGCGCAGAAAAGCTGTGCAGCTCCCATTTAATCCATGAGACATCACTAAACGATGGTGGTCTGAAGGATTATAGATATAGATTATAGATATCAATTCATTCCTTAATGAACCTAACTGACACTTTTCTGCCATGGTCAGGAATCTTGCTTGAGACCTTCCTCCTCCACCAGGAGGGTCAAGTCAGACCACTCCCACCAATACATGGACCACAACTGGGCTGCATTAAATCTAGCCAAATGTCACAGGACTGTGCCTTCTATCAGAACTGAATGCTTTTGTAAAACACTTAAGCCTCATGCTTAGGCTAAATGGTGGAGACATTTGAATGAGGAGTAAACTGAAGCTACTAATTATACCTTGTAAACTGCTACTCAGACAATAAAATGTCATGTCTTAATTCTGCTGAATTGTAAATGTTGTCACCAGAAAGGTTCACGGTTAAGTCATTGGATCTTAAGATTATCAAAAGGAAATCTTAAAATCTTAATAAATCAGTGACCACGAAAGGTAATATAAAATGGCAGTGATATAGGATAATGGTAAAAGAATTTGAAGATAAATGTGAGGATATTAAATGTCATAATCCACACCCAGAGGCAGATTCTATGCAGACAAGGACAAATGTGATGAGAAACCAGAATGTCAAGCTGGTGGAGAAGTTCAAACAATATGTAGTTTTTGCAGTTGTGTGGCATTGAGTCTGAGAAAGAAACTGAGTCTAGAAATAATGAAAGATCTGTCTTAAAGAAGAAAGGTGAATTCAGGAGGCAGAGAAAATTAGCAATTGAACTGCAATGCTAGCCATCCAGTCAACTAGGGGTGTGACTTTAGGAGTGATTATAATTGGGAATACACAAGAGGCAGAATTAGAAGAGTGCAACTTATTACAAAGGTTGTGAAATCTTAGCAGAGGCAAGTCCATTGTGTGATTTGGAACAAGGAAGCAAATTTTAAAGTCAAAGCATTGTTTGACCAGGAATAAGCACAGTGCTGAAAAAGGAAGGCAACTTGTTACAAGTTAAGACAATGGGCAGCAGGGTTTTGAATGATCTCAAATTTGTGGAGGTTAGAATTTAGGAGACCAGAAGAAGTACTTTAGAACAGTTGAGTGTGTAGAGGTAATGAAGACACGAATAAAGCTTTCAGTCACAGATGAGCTGAGACATTAGCAAAGTTCAGTGATGCTTTGTAGCTGAAAGTAGGTATTCAAAGTATTATCACAAATATGTGATCAGAAACTCATCTCGGGATCAAATGTGGCACCAATGTCACCATCAGACTGGCTTAATCTCAGGTTGTTGCCAGGGAAATGAACAGTGTGTCCATCTTAGGGATGGGTATAAAAGCAACGGCTTCAGTCTTCCCAATATGTACTTGGAGGAAATTTCAACTCTTCTACACTGGTTAACAAACAACTATCTGATTATTTAGCAACAATGGAAGAGTTCAGAGAAATGCTGGTGAAGTAGAACTCGATGACGTGAGTACAGACATGAAAATTAAACCTACGCTTTAAATGATGCCACCAGAGATAAGCATGTTCTGTGGCTGAGAAATAGGTGGGGCTACAGATGTTTCCTCAGGAAATGCCAAAGCTAATGAAAACCAAAAGAAGAGTGGATGCTGTAAATCAGGAACAAAAACAAAGTTGCTGGAAAAGCTCAGCAGGTCTGGCAGCATCTATGAAGGGAAAAACAGAGTTAACGTTTTGGGTCCGGTAACCCTTTCTCAGAAAGCAAAGCTAATGGAGTGGGCGCAGGAACAGAAGTCATTGTAAGTGATTCCCTGGCTACTATTAAATGGATAAGAATAAAAAAAGTCCCAACCAGTTGGATGACAGTAGAGATGCTTTAGAGGAGGATGGTGTAATAGCTGCAGACAGGTTCAGCAGGTTGAGGAGGCAGCATATACCTTTGTGACACATTCACATGTTTGGAATTTATGGCTTTTGATTAGTTGTGTTTTCTGGTTCTCATAAGTTTGAAATCACACTTTTAGTCTCTAATGGCCTTGATCTTCCAGTCTCCAGATAGTCTGGGAATAAATGCACCCCAAAAAATGCACATTGGAACCCTCAGAAGTCACAACGTAATGACTTACAAAATTCCAAAGTTTAAACTCTCTGATATAGAGAATCCCCTGCGAAAGTTTCCAATTTGGACTTAATTTTGGAGACCAAGGACTCTGACGCACTTACTTGGATAGTTATACAGGAAATATTAGACAATTAAAATTTGCTGTAACTCCTGGTTAACTACACTACTGACTCCCAATCACTCATACTACCACTTCTACCTCCGATGCCAATCACCCTTTCCTTCCCAGTTACCTGAACCTTCCTGGACAGAATCCATCTGCATCCCAACAGTCATACACCAGATCCTTATCTTCCATCCCAATCCTTCACCAACATACCTGCCATCTTACTCCCTGATAAAACTGCTGCCAATTTCAACTATAGGAGATTTGCACCTAACTGTGAATTAATGCCATGCAGCCAGTTTCACAGCATAGAATGACAAAACTGTAGCAAAGATAAAACTGCAGATCAGTCAGGATATACACAGAAGTTCACTCCTTCAAAAAAACCAGTGTCACTCAACTCAAGCAGTGGAGTAAGGAGTTTTGTGGTACAGTATAAAAGACAAGGTCTTTGAAGGTGTTTGTCACGCTTGCCTTCATTGGTCAGCGCAATGAGTACAGGAGTTGGGATGTCATGTTGTAGATATACAGGCCATTTTGGTGAGGCCACTTTTAGAATACTGCATTCAATTCTGGTTTCACTGGTATAAGAAAGATGTTGTTAAACTTGAGAGGACTCAGAAAAGATTTACAAGGATGTTGCTGGGAATGGTGGGTTTGAGCTATAAGAAGAGGATGAATAGGCTGGGGATTTTTCCCCTGGAGTGTCACAGGCTGAGGATAATCTTATAGAGAATTGTAAAATCATGAGGGGCATGGATAGGGTGAATAGTCCCAGGGTAGGGGAGTCCAAAATTAGAGGGCATAGGTTTAAGGTGGGAGGGAAAAGATTTAAAAGGGACCTTAGGGACAACTTTTTTTACACACAGGATGGTGCACGTATGGAACTAGTGCCAAAGGAAGTGGTGGAGACAGGTACAATTACAAAATTTAAAAGGCATCTGGATGGGCACATGAACAGGAAGGGTTTACAGGGATATGGGCCAAATGCTGGCAAATGGGACTAGATCAGTTTTGGATATCTGGTCAGTACGGACAAGTTAGATCAAAGGATCTGTTTCTGTGCTGTATACCTCTATGAAAGAAAAAAATCAAGGATGACAATTGATCAGAGGGCCTTTTGAATTAGGAGTGAAATTGGATTAATGGAAGAACAATCATTCTCTCTCCTCAGATGGTGAAGTTCTCCAGCATTTTCTGTTTTAATTTCTTACCATGCGTACTACTTTGTTCTTATGTAACCAGATTAACCTAATGAAATTTATACATGACAGAACTATACAGCACAAAGGACGACATTTGACCCACCATCCAGTCACATTACTCTAATCTCTCCCCATATTTCTGCATCGAACCTCATTCAAGTGTATTCTGGTCACATCTTTTAAGACGTCAGCAGAAATATTCTCTCTCTCTCCCTTATGGTAACGGTGCATACATGAGGGCTCTTGTGCTGCAATGGTTAGTGCTCCTACCTCTGCGCCTCGAGGCCCGGGTTCAAGTCCCACCTACTCCAGAGGTGCGTCACAACATTAGGTTAATTAAAAAAAATTAGAAGAGTGCACACGGATGATCTACCCACAGGACGAGGGGGTCCGGGGGGTCATACACTGTGGCAGGGGAATGTCGCTCTTACCCGGAGTCTGATCTGAGCGGCTCCAGCTCCTCGGAGCGGCTGAAGCGGGAGCCGACATGATGGTGTTGCCGACCCGTTGTTGAGGCTGGGCGTCTGTCTCCATGGTGACAAGACACGTGACGGACGCTCAGGAGGCGCGGGCTCCAGGGAACACGCTCGCGGCTCCGGCCAGCAGCAGCAGCACCGCTGGTGCACGGGCAGGCAGTGAGAGAGAGAGAGACACAGAGAGCTTCATGGATAACAAGGTGTAGAGAGCTGGATGAACACAGCAGGCCAAGCAGCATCCGAGGAGCAGGAAGGCTGGCGTTTCGGGCCTAGACCTTTCTTCAGAAATGCTACCAAAGCAGGGTCTTCTTATTGCTCAAACCACCACCACCACCACCGCCCCCCACCTCACCGATCCCAGCAAAATCCTTGTAAATCTTTTCTGAGTCCTTTCAAGTTTAACAACATCTTTCTTACACCAGGGAGACCACAATTTACCAAGAGGTCCCGACCCTCTCGGTAATATCAGGGTTATCATTTAACCATCGTGAACACCACCCCGATTTTTAACCCATACATTCTGACTTGAAACAACGATGGTGAGACTCAGCAGGGACAACCGGGCGAGAGTACGCGCAGCCAGGATTCGTCACCCTTTCAAATGGACGGGATGGAAAGTCTTCCAGCGTGAAACTGCGAAAGATTTGTAATCACAGAACTACTTCTTCACCATCTGTACAGGCGATTTTCAACTTTTTGGTAATCGTAGGCTTTACGCAACTTGGTTTGAACCGTCAGAATTCACTGCAGCATGGAAACAACTCATACAGTTCTACAACGCATCTCTGAGAAGCAGCAAAATCAACAGCAGCAGAATTTTTGAAGGGTCCCGACCCGAAATGTCAACCTTCCTGCTCCCCTGATGCTGCCTGGCCTGCTGTGCTTCTCCAGCTCCACACTGTGTTGTCAGAAGCAGAATTAAACACAGTTTACTAGCAGCTGCCTTTCTTGGGCACTTTCCACTCGACTCTCAGAGGTGATGGACAAAGAACTCCAGTTCAAATCAATCAATACCACTAGTACAGCGTATACAGCTTTCTCAACGTGATTATGTAACAGTGCCTCGGGAGTTGAAATATCATGGTCTGCTCATCAATAAGCATCACATATTAGGAAAGACTTGCATAGGAACTGGTCAAGGCACTGGACAAGTATCCAAATATCCACCATACCATGGCAAATGGTGAAATATGAATCAATAAAAATCTGGCAGTAAAAGCTGACCTGATGTAACTATCATTGATTGTTATAAAAGCCCACCTGGTTCACTAACATCCCTTAGGAAAGGAAATGTGCCGTCTCTATGTAACCTGGCTTACACCTTGACTACCAACTACACTATGAATTAGCTCTTGGAAGCCAGTCAGTTCAAGTGGCAATTAGGAATCAGCAATAAATGCTGGTCCAGTCAGCAACCTACATCCTTCAAGAATGAATAAAACAATGCCACATTATGTTGTCATCCAGTTGGAAACAACCAACCATTTGATCTGCTTTGGTAATGATGGGAGCTTGTGGTCACAATTTCACCAGTTTATAGGAATTCAATCACAAACATAAAATTATGGTTTATTTGTAACTGCTTATAAGAGTACACTTAAACTTTTGTCACTTGCAATTTCTTCTGTTTCTCTGTCATATTCTCATTACATAGTGCCAGTGGCCTAAGGATAACAACGTGGTTAAGTTACAGCCAGTGACAGGTTGGCTAGTACCTTTCCAGTCAGGGAGTGTGAATAGATTGTTATGTATGAAATAGTGTACAGATAGATTGTTCAACTGTTTTTAGGTGTCATATAAGTGTTTTCATGTTAATGAAAATGATCTGCAACACGGGGATGCTCATGATCCCAACAGAGCAATCCTTAAAATAACCAGATATTTTAACAGTTGTGGTGGAATAAACATATTACACCCTCAGGAATAGATTTTTCCTTGTGTCAAATCGATAAGGCCTTCTTCATTAATCTGCACATCTTCAAGAAACAATTCATTTTGAACATGGTTACACTTTTTCAGTTGAGCTGGAGTTGATGTTATCACTGAATGGCTTTGTCTACAATTTAGACACACTTTCAGGGTATCTGACTATGGCAAGTGTTGATGAGTCTGCTGTGGTCTTTTTGGCCATAATCGACTTCAGCTGGTTGGGCAAATTGGAATGCCAAGTCTGAGAGTGCATCCGTCTGTAACCTATTCAAAACAACCATTGTGGATTCAATTTGGCCTGCCAAGATTGTGTTCTTTTTCTGAGGTAAAACATCAGCCTCCTTGAGGAAGCATTCCATAATTCCAGTCAGGCAGTCCTAGTCAGGTAGAGGAGGAGGATGGTGGCAATCGGGAGGCTACTGTGAGCTCAGGGTGACATGCCAACCCTGTCAACTGATGGGGTGGGAACAGTGAGGTCTCTGTGTGGGGCCACAGTCAGCTGACCAACCATGCCATGGTCAGGGTGCCTAAAAAGAAGGGTCAATCTCCAATCCATGTAGGAATATCCATCCCACCCTCTGCCCCATCCTATTGTATGTTTCATTTCAATCAACTCAACAAAGTATATTTCTCACAGTCATAACTCTAGTTTCTCTCCACCAGGACTATGACAGAGGTGGAGACCTGGGAGATTAGCAGCGTTGCAGATTGTACAGCCATTAATGATGGAAAGATCGGGCTCTTCTAGACACCTGGTGACAAAGCAAGAACTGGCATTGCATGTGGATACAATAATCACTAATTTGGATTAATTAAAATTTGAAAATCTGACAATGGTGTCTTTTTTACCCCTTCTCCATGTGAGTTCTAAATTGTATCTTTCAACACCCCCCAGATACATTAATTGTGACACAGGACCCTCAGCATGAGGATGTTGATGAGGCAAGGTGTGCTCAGAAGAAGTGTGCATTCTGAGGAATCATTGTCACACGGATCCATGCACATCCACTACTAGCTTATATACACACCCCTGTAGGGTCTCAGAGAGAAATCACTGATCTATCATGTGGTGAGGTACAAATCGTAATTAGGAGGGAACAGTGCTGCAGTCAAGGACAGCAGAGAAGATCCTATCACAAGATGCAGGGTGGTTGAAATTCTGCTTTTCAAGAAGAAACTGTCTGGGCACTGAGCCTCAAGGATCATCTATGAAGATGTCAATTTTGGAGTAGCAACTGAAAATGTGAAAGGTTCTATTGGAATCTCTCTTAATATTGGAGAGAAATTGGAGCACTCAATTTCAGTTCAGCTCCCATGAAGAACTTCAATATATCATTCCCAACTGTTGCAATGATGAAATAACTATTCAATGTCTCATCAAGGAATGAATCAAGCAGAAAAAAAATGCATAGCATTCTAAAGAAGAAGAAAAGATGTCCCTGCTACTCATTCATAAGATTTTCTCTTTCTCTTGGTAGTGGTATTACTTACACATTTTCTTCCGCTTGTAGACAATGAAAAATCAGCATAAAGTAGAATTTCATCATCATCAGAAATGAAAATAGACTTGAATATTTGAGGAAATTAGACCCTCTCAGACACATACTTACGGACTGGGATCTATAGGAAACTCATTTGTACTGTTATGATCTGTAGACTTTCTTGAAGACACAAAAGATTCAACACTGTCATCAGATGTTTTCTCTGCAAGAGCCACATTGGTAATAAGAAAGACAGTTTGGGCACTTTTTCACATCCAGGAATTTAACAGTTTCCGGTTACAATTGCTGCATGACATTGCAGTCTTCAGTGGAATGATCAGAGAAATTCACCTCTATATCACTTCCTTCAATAATTTGCTGGTATTCCTCAAAAGAGCTCTGACCAAAGCCATTGTCTTTAAAAAGTATAGCAAGATTCAGGACCTATTCCTCCATAAAATCATCAACACCATTGGTATTTTCAATCCCTTTCAGATATTTTCCCATCAACTTGTTTAGAGATGTTATTATACTACTTGTTTTGATTTGATTTATTGTTGTTACATGTACCGAGATACAATGAAAATGTTGTTTTGCATGCAATACAGGCAGATCATACCATATAAAGTGCATTAGGAATGCAGGGCAGAGTGCAGAATGCAATGCTACAGCTGCAGAGAAAGTGCAAGGAGAGAGATCACAATTAACATTTGGGAGGTCCATTCAAAAGTCTGACAACAACAGGGTAGAAGCTGTTCTTGAATCTGTTCGTATATGTGGTCAAACTTTTATACCTTCTGTCCAATGGAAGAGAGTAAAACTGGGATGGGAGGAGTCTTTGAGTATTTCAGTTGCTTTTCTGAGGCAGCAGGAAGTATAGATGGAGTCAATGGATGGAAGGCTGGTTTGCATGATGGACTGGGCTGTGTTCATGATTCTTTGTAGTTTCTTGCAGTTTTGGGAAGAGTAGTTGCCATACCATGCTGTATTGCATCCAGATAGGATGCTTTCTATGGCTCATCTATAAAAATTGATGAATCTTGTGGAGCCAGTGAGACTCAAACTCAGGAATCTTGAGAGCCCCTTCAATCTCTTTCACACATTTCACAAAGAGTAATGGACAGGAACAAGTCAAGTGAACCTCCCTGAACTGATTCTGTTACAATTATATCTTTTCCAAATTAGTAGACAAACTATTCACAAAGACCATATTTGGTCTCTCTAAGGCTCTGCGCAGGTATAATAAAATGTCTCTACTTTTATCTTCCATTCCCCATGCACAAAATGCCAAAATTCCATTTTTGTTCCAAAAACGTGCTTTATCCGCACTCTAACATTTTGTAATTCATGTTCTACAACACCCAAATCCCTTTGTACCACTGAACTCTGTGAAATTTCTCCAATTAAATAGTTTACTGCTTTCCATTCTTTGTGCCAAAGTGATCAAGTTCACATTGTCCTGCATTATTCTTTGTTTTCCAGATTTCGGGACACTCACATAACCTATATGTATTCTAATATAAACCCCCTGCCTCCTTTTCACAATTTACTTCTTTACTTATCTTAATGGCAGCTTAAAATTTAGCTACCATACTTTCAGTCTCTTTATCTAAATCTACACAGA